GGATTTACTAGTTTTTATTAGTTATTATTGCATTTTTAATGTTTAGTTTTAGTTTAGATTTTATTAGTTCTATTGGTTTTTTTATCGTTTGAATAAACAAATTAAATAATGCATCCAGCTTATGATGTTCCTGTGAGTTAACTAACCAACAGATATTTGGTCACTAGTTAAATCAGTCCATTATAGCAACACCTTCCTAAAATCATTGTTTAACTTAATTTTGCAAATTAAAAACTTGGTGATAATTTTAGGACGATGATAATAATTGTCTCCAACCTGCTGCTACTTGTTTTTCAGAGATCCACGTCTCAAAATAAATCAACAAACACTAAAACTAAGGATATTCTATATATTATTTCATTAGTTTTAGTAAAGAGATTCTACAGTTTTAATTAGTTTTTTATTTCATTTTATTACAGTTTTTATTTAGTTTTTGTTAACTATAATAACTGTGGTCAGAACCAGACACTCATGAATTCACACCTTATTTCTTTGCACAACTTCTACAGAGATTTGTTCAGCTTTGATAATCTCACTGCTCATGAGAAAAACCACAGATTATTTGTGGATTGGGCTGTGTGTCTCTGGGTGAACCCGGAGTGGAAGTGAAACTGTAAAAATCAAACGTCAGTCCATCCTGTCAGTCTGAATGAAGTGTCTCTGGAGGCTGACAGGGCTGCAGAGACAGATCCAGGTTTAATCCCAGTGAGGCCATGATGCCTCTCTGACTGACACGTCCAGTCTGGACTCGTCCTTCTGTCTGTGCAGTTTGTGTGGTTGTGTGTGTTTGTGTTGTCATTTTTCCTGTCATGTGTCTGAATCAAACTTTTTTTAAACTGGAGCTGATTGCACCTCCTCTCCGCCTGCATTTCATCAGAGGAGATAACTTCCAGTATTTAAGGTGGTGCTGCTGGTCCGAGCCTTGTGGCCGACCCTGATAAGAGCCATGAGCCCACTGGTTTCATCCTGCGTCCCCCCATCACCCCCACGGGTCGGCTTCCATCATCCAGCCTTCACTCCCTGAGACGTTGGACCCTGTTTCAACACATGTGAGCTGCAGAGGCTGATCCACACGTGCACGGACACACTTCAGAGTGCATCTCACTGATAACTCACTACAGCCCTGCTGAGCAGCTTGGAGCTGGGTTCTGACCAGATTTAACCTAAAACCAGTGCTGGGATCTGTGTTACACATTATAACGGTTTGGTATCACTTAAAGGAAAGCATTAAGACAAAGACACTAGAGCTGGGCGATATGATCTAAATTTTATATCACAGTATTTTCAACATTTTCACCAGTTTCACAGTATTTGACAGTATTTTTCTTTTCATCACAGCTCAGCTGATAATAAAATGTACAAACCCTGCTTCTTGAGTTTTTTCTTTCTTGCACTATATTTCTTTTAGTTGAATTTTATATGTTTTGGTTGAGATTTTATGTTGATGTTAAATCTTTTAAGCTTTGTT